GGAGGAAAATAGCTCATTGCTAGCCGCCAGGTCGCCTGTGGTGGGCCTGGGTTCAGCAGCCCTGAGGGAGAAGGGCAGGGGTGTTATGTCATCACTTGGGAGGGACACAAGCTCCACGGACTAGCAGAACACAGGTCTAGGTGGTGGAGTTCCTGGCGGAGTGGCGGGTGGGAGTGGGGAATCATTGACTTGGCTCTTTAAAAAATACACTAAAAGGTCCTATTTGAAATACAATTCTTCCCTTCTTTAGCCTCCTCTCTTTTTCTCGAAAAAGGAATAAACTGTGTACAGTAGTTTGACACATAGTTTGACAGATGTTCAGACACACGAGCATGCATTAGTCAGCTCAGGCTGCACCACAGGAGACCTCAGCTAGGGCGCCTCGAACAACAGAAATGCATTTCTTCACAGTCCTGGAGGCAAGAAGCCCCAGTCAAGGCCCCACAGGCGGGTTTCTGCTGAGGGCTCTCCCGCCCGCTTGTGGATGGCTGCCTTCTCACATAACTCGCATGGCGTTTCCTTGGTGTGGGCACTCAAAGATGGTTTAAGGTCTCTGTTGTCTCTTTCCAGAAGGACAGATCTCATCACATGAGGGTCCCACCCCTGTGATCTTAACCTTAACCAGGCTCTAGAGACCCCACCCCCAAATAACGTCACACATATGAATGGGGGTGGGGGCACACCCTTGAGTCATTACAAAGCAAATTTGCTCACCGGGGTCAAAATGGGGAATATTCCCAGTGCCAGGTAGGTTTCCCTACCCCCCTCTACCAACTGGTCAGTCTGTCTGGCTTCACCGTCACATGAACATACCAGACAGACGTGCGCTCTTGTGTCCAGCAGGCACCTCGCTGTACTGAGAGGTGTGTCTGTGCCTGGCACCCTTGCTCCCTGGCATCCCATGTGGTCCACAGCCTCTTTCTTCAAGAGTTTGAGCCCTGCAGTGCAGGGTGCTGTCCTGAGCAGGGACATGCAGGCAGTAGCTGAGAGGGTGGCTCTGGCTGTCTGGGCTCAGCCCTTGGGTGGGGTGAGGTGAGGTCTGGTACCTTGATGGCCTGTGTTGGCTGAGTGAGGAGACTGTCTGTCCACAGGATGTTGGTGCAGAGGCCTGGCACCCAGCTGGCACCCGTGAGGGCTCACCTGAGTGGGGCAGTGCCATGTTGCTATCAGAGCATCAGCAGTGCGCCTTGTCTTGGAGAAAACATGGAACCCTAGATGTGATGGTGCTTTGGCAGGTAGGGGAGAGAGGGGCAGATTCATCTGGCAACCAGAATAGTCTGAAGAAATCCATTGAACCCCATCTGGTGACAGGACACGCCTCCCAGTTCTCTGGGCTCCCTGACCATGTTCCACTGTGAGGGTCATCCTGGAGATGATGACCAGCATAAAAAAGGAGAAGGACACAGCATAGCTCCCAACTGGGGTTCTTCTGGAATTCTCAGGCTGTGCACAGGCCCAGGACAGCTCCTGTCCCCCTATTCACAGCACACCTTCCTTCTTCCCTCATTGTGTTTGGGGACTTGAGTGGACCCTGAAGGGGACCGAGGAGCAATCCCTGGGCCCAGGTGTTGGCCCCCCTTGACAGTGTTTCTGGTCTGTTTTCAGGGGGAACTGGATTGGAGAAGCCCCCTACAAAACCGGCCGCCCTGCTCTGAGTGCCCGCCCAGCTATGGAGGCAGCTGCAAGAACAACTTGTGCTACCGAGGTAGGAAGAGGCTTCAGGACCATGTGGAATGGGGTTTCCTCCAGTCTAAGGGTCCTAAACAGCCTTCTGTAAAGTGGGAAAGTTGAGCAGTCCTGTCCAAAGTGCCCTCCCCTCTTCCCCCACAACCTCCCATTCTCTCCTTCCCTCTGCCTTGCACTGGGAAGTGGGGGGAGCCCACTCCGTGGGGACACACCAGCCCAGGCTGTTGCTGTGGATACCCCCATGGCCAGACTCCGAGCTGGATGCTGGATGCAGACGTACCTGGTTGTGCCTGCGGTTTGGTGTAAGATAGCGCACAAGAAATTGACCACAGATGTTTGGATCTTGCTCATCCTCTGCCTATTTGTCATAAATGCTCAGAAATCTCGGAGACACTCACGTTTCCCTTCCTCTCACAACTTCTAAAGGCATCTGTTCCTGCTCGCTCCACCTTCTGTTGCCCCATTCAGCATGTTTCCCCTCTCATGATACTGTAAATAGTGTGTGTTCTTCATGCCTGACACTCCACCCCAGCAGGGGCAGAGCTGGGCCAATGGGGCTAGCTCTGCTTTTGTAGCTAAGATGTGTTTTTCACATGACTCCACCCTGGCCCTTGTGACAGCCCCGAGGGGCCTTTCATGGGGCTTGGGACACAGGAGAGAGCAGCCCCTGGTGCCTAACCTCCCCAGCCAGAGGGGATATGGGTTCAGCCCAACAGCTCTGTCAGGGGAAGAAGCAGGTGGTCTAGAGGGGTCTGTTGCTCTGGCCTGTTATTCACCAGGGCTTCTGCCCTTTTGGGGAAAAGAGGATACAGGAGAATCTGGGAACTGACATCTGGCAAACTGCTTTGTGCTGGGCCTTGGGCTGTGATTCACATGTGGGTGACTGAGCTTCCAGTCTTGCCTCTGCGTGACTTCAGGCTGCTTGTCCTTGAACATGCTACCCATCAGTGAAATGGGTATGATAGCACATCTTTCACAATGCAGCTCAGGCCCAAAGGAGAGCAGGCTTGCATTTGGTGTGAATGTATCGTGTGCCAGACCAACAGTGACATTATTGGGACCATAGTCAGTCAAGGGCCTGCTCTCATCAACCTGAGGTCCAGCAGTGTCATTGCCACATGGAGTGACACATCTTCCTTGGGGAAGTAGCTGACACCACAGGGTGTACAACAGGAGTATGCACTGTCATCTGGCTGGTCAAGGAAAGCCTCCCCAGCAGGTGGCCCTGGAGGAGAACATGGAATCCAGTGAAGGGAAAGATGTCTCTGGCAGGTGGAACAACATGTGCAAAGGCCAGGTGGCATGTGGCAGCCAGGTTCTAAGGGTGGGAGACAGAAACCCGTCAGGTGTGCAGATGCTGGCTGTCTGCCACACAGCAGGGATGCCTAAGCCTGTGTGACATGGGATCCTCCTGCTCAGCTCTTACTCTCAGGCAACTCCTCTTCATTGTCTTCGAGCCTGGGCTCCACACACCAGTCTGTAGTGAAATCTCCAGGTTACCTGGCTCTGGCTGCTGGATTCATGGGACAAACATGTGTGCTAGCACCTGGCACACCTGCTATAAGACATCATCCTGGCCACATCCCAGCAGCGGGACCCTGGGCATGTTCCATCGTCTCTCAGAGCCTCAGTTTTCCATCTGAAATGGGACCTCTGTGTCCCCCGGGGTGGCAGGAGGACAGAAGGGAATGCAGGTTGAGGTTACGCTCCAGTGTGTCAGGGCCCTTCCCTGAGCACCTGTCCAGGAAGTTCCTGTGGCTGCTGTGGGTCCCCATCAGATCCTGAGTGTTGGTATGGGGACTAAAGGGCAGATGCTCCTTAGGGCCCCTTGCCTCTTCCCGGGTGCAAACCTACCCCACCTGATGCTGCTTTCAAAGTGCATTGGCATCTGGGGTAGGACGGAGGACCTTTCCTGTAGGGGCCAGAGCTTTCCTGGTTAAGAACAGGCCATGTGCCATCTTTGCCATTACTGCCACGCGTGCCTCAGTTTCCCCATCTGTGATGGTGATAGGCATAGTCCCTCCATAGAAGATTTGCTAGTCACCTGCAATAAGAAGGGTGTGTTGCTAACGTAGTAACTGGCAGGTTTTTTTTTTTTTAAATATAGCTCCTTAGCTCCTTGGAGAAATGGGGGCAGCAGGAAGGAATGCTGTCCTCATCATCTTGGATGGGGGGTCCTTCCTTACCTAGTGGGGACTGTTAGCCCTCTGCCAATCTGAGGACCTCATTGGAATCAGGAACCTAGCAGATGCCTTCTCCTTGGATAAATAGCTGTGGAGGCTCACCATCTCCAGGAAGCCTTCCCTGATTTCACAGACAGGCAGTGTACTTGCCTTCATGGCCTCACTGCATGCAGCCTCCCCTGTGTCCTGATCATCTGTTTTCACACCTGTCTATTCACTGTGAGCCTCTGGGGACACATGGCTGGTGTGTTCTGTGTATCATCTGAATCAGCAAACCCTAGAATCCACAGAGGGTCATTTCCAAATAAATCAGCACTTTCAGACACCTTAGATGTTAGTGCCCCCACCCAGCAAGACGTCCTTTACTTGTGTCTTTATTTTTGGTGGAAAATACCCAATTTCACCTGGCAGGCATCCCGATTTTCTTAGCTAACCATGCAGAAAGTCTCCTGCAAAGCAGCTTATCTGCATAAGCTACTTAATAAGCATTGATTGAGGGTGCCTGGCAAGGCCTTGACCTATAATAGCTATGGAACATGGAAAAGGCTGGATTGAAGAAGTCTCCGTCCCTGCAGCCTTGCCATGTGTGGCCATAAAGGGCGTGGGCTTCGGGGAATGGCGGTTTGACTCTTGGCTGTGTCAGCTTAGACAGGTGGCTTAGACTCTCTGAGCCTCAGCTTCCTGGCCTGTGAATTGGACCGCCGCACCTCTTGGGCCAACGAGAGGATAGTGTGCGAGCAGGCCCAGCCGTGGTCATCATTTGGTCCTCAGTCGGCAAACATTAGCTGTGAGCTCAGTGCACACTTGCAGAGCCAAGTGGGAATCTGCAGGATGATGGAGCCGGGCTGCTGAGACCCCTAGTCCAGGGCTGGACAGCATGCAGAGCCCCCTGGCAGTGACCTCAGAAATGGAATTTCCCCAGGCATGCCTGCCAACTCAAGGTTTTCATTAGGATGTGCCCCAATCTGGCTGACCCAGAGCAAGCATCGCTTTGGTGTGTGTGTCTGAGGGAGAGGCCTGCTGCCCATTTTCTTAAATAGTGAGCCTTCCAGTGCTTCAGACTGTCTCACCAGACTATGTTCAGCAAAATAAAGCCACGATTATGAGGCATAAAAACCCTAAAGGCCAGTGGAAGAAACCCTGCTTATTCCAGAGACGGCTCGGCTTTCAGCGAAGGATGACCCTGAAAGGCGGCATTGAGGAGGGGCCGACTGAGGCTGGCCGGCACTGCCCGCAGCCTCGCAAACCGGCGACTTCCTCAAGATTTCCCTTCTAGCTCTGTCCTTACAAGTGGTGCTTTCAGCAGTTCCCTCTTGAATGTTCTTAAACTTCCCTGGGCAGCTTTTTTTTTATTTCTGGAGAATTCAAGGATAGACTGGAAGGGGAGGGGCTTTGCCTGTCCTTCATTCAGCACGTTTTGTTGTGCTGGAGGAGCAGGCTGCCCTGTGGGGCATGGGCAGGCTGGCTTCTGCCCCCAGGGCATGGACAGCTGGTGGCAGAAGCAGGTGGCAGTGGAATGACAGCTGCCAGCTGCTGTACAACATGACCACAGCTCTGATGAGAATGGATGCAGGCCACCATTTGCCTCCCAGGCCAAGTCCATCCTGGTCCTCTTGGGACAGGCTTCCCTGGTAGCTGAGGGGTTCTAGCGAGTCAGCCCGGGAAATAGCAGCCTTGAATCCTGGACTCGGAGCCACCAGAGAATCCCTCCTTTGTCTGCCTTTGGGTGTTAGTTTGGTGTAGACACCAAGCACCTGGTCTGCCCTTTAGAGAGGAGAGGTTACTTCCCTCCAGGACATGTGGCAGTAGGGTAGGGGACTGATGGAACTTGATGGGGCTGGAATTATAATCCAGTGACACAGAGGCTAGGGAGGGGCTTCATCCCTCCTCCTTGAAATCCTTCCCAAACACAGCTATGATTTTTCTCTCTGGAGAACCCCAGAAAGCAGGGATTCTTGGCACCAGTGCACACATCCACAAGGTGGCAGGGACACCCCCCAACCCCAGCCAAGATGCCCACCTATCCACCTTTGATAAGGTCACTCAAGCAAATAAAAGTAGCAACGCTTTGCTTTGCTTTGGCTGGAATCTAAGTCTGGTACCCTGGTGTCCTGCTGACTGATTTTTTTTTTTTTAAGATTTATTTATTTATTTATGCAAGCACTGGGTACAGTCAGAAGTGCGGGAGGGTGAGAGAATTCACCAGAGCCAGAGCGGGGAGCAGAGCAGGCAGAGGGACCGAAGTACACTGCTGAGGGGAGCAGCGGGCGCGGCAGGAGTGTCTGTCGCGCCATGTGGGACCCTTCCCGGCAGCCAGGGATGGAACCGGTGCTGCAGAGGCTGCAGGCAGCTTCGCAGCCCAGTGTTCAACCACTGTGCCACCAGGGGAGGCCCCCTGCTGACTGATTCTGATGAGTGGTTAATAGTTCTCTCACGATGAAACTGGAAGATAAATAAGCTGATGCTTAAGAAATACAATTTGTTCAGTTAATGAAAATGTTTTCAGATGTGGGGCTCACAGTCAGGGTTAGACAGTCACATTTGGATGGGGGAGGATGAATTATATTTTAAAAGTAGAACTTGGGTCTTGGTGCTGGTTCCACACGATGGGGCAGCGAAACCCCAGAGAAGTGAGGAGAAAGGGACTGGTGAGGGATATGGTGCAGGAGGGAGCAAAAGTGCTGATGCTGAGGTGCAGGGGCCCAGGAGCTTCTACACGGGTCTTCAGGCACCAGGGTGGGCAGGTAAATGAGAGAGACCCTGCCCCAGTAAAAGTCTAGGGTGGGCCTCGGGGTGGGCCTCGGGGTGGGCCTCAGGGGACTGCTGCAGTTTCAGGCCAGAAGATGAGGCAGCTTCTAGGAGCTGCTTCCGTGGGCGAATGGTGGTGTGTCTGCGGGAGGAGGCGGACAAGAGATCATTATGACAATCCAGGTGTGAGCGCTGGACCCTCTGACCTCTGGTCAGCCCAGCTGCTCTTGGGTCCAAAGCCACCAGGGCGCATGGCTGGCCTGCCCCTCGCCGCTCGGCCAGTAGAATTCCACCTGGCTGGCCCCATTCTTTCTCTTTGCTGCTGAAACGGTTCTTTGTGGAACAAAACCTCAAACAAGTTTCATTTCCAAATTGCCTCTTTTCTCTGCAAAGTGCATTTTTGTTGAATCCCAGTGTGTTCTTTCCCCCTTCCTCTCCACTATTTAGAGACTTATGACCCAAAACCTGAAGCAGATGAGATGAACGAGGTGGAGGTGGCACCTGGCCCCGAGGAGAAACTCGTCTGGGTGCAGCCGAGGGTGAGCAGACCCTCGCAGCCCAAGAAAACCCCGGCCGTGAACTACATGAGTGAGTGGGCTCCGTCCCCTGCCCGCGGCTGCCCTGCCCACCCCCTCAGTGAGGTGGCACTCTCCTCCGGGGTGGGTGGGGGAGGGGAGCCTGTGGGTTGAGAGGTCTCCAAATGGACAAACAGTGGGGAGCAGGGTGGGGCGTGGCCTGTAAAAGCACAAACTTAAGACGTTTTAAAAAGTGATATTTTTAAGATGCTTGCTCATGTCAAGAGCAAGCACCAGAGGAGTGGCACTGGGTGGCGCTTCCCCGGGGCAGGGATTTTAAGGTCAGACCTTCCCTTGTCCTTTCAAAGGGACCTAGACTTGGATTTGGGTTCCTCTTGGAAGCCTCTGCCTCTCTAAGGGAGAACACAGAGCCCAGCGTGTGGCCGGCTCTGCTGGCTCCTCCTTCTCCACCAACTGCTGGTAGGCCCAGCATTGAGATGCTCTGAGCCATGAACGCTCACCTGCAAAGGTGGCAGGGGTGCCTGTACAGGGTTGGTGGGATTGTTGGCGGTGATTAATGATCCCTCCTGCCCCCGCCCCTGTTTGCCCTCAAACAGCCCTGACTAACCAGCCCTTGCAGGGGCCAGCACTGACCATCTTTTTCAGGTTCTTTTGCTGGCTCTTCACCCCACCCCCTGGGCCCACCCATCTTCCCATCCTCTTGGACCTTTAGAGTCTTCTCCTGACTTCCAGGCCTATTTAAACATTTTGTAGCTAATGTGGGTCCAAAAATTTGAAATGGTGCTATTGTCTTTTTTTTTTTTAAGAACCCATTAGATATGAAAGTAGCATATCAATTATAATACGATGTGTCTTTTAGTCACACATAATATGATCCCAAGACCCTGATGGGATTTTACCCCATAAAATGAACCAAGAAGGCATACTTGACACTATTGGCCTTGCTGTGGGAAGGACTGGGGTGGGAAAGGTCTGGTCAGGAGAGGCATGTGAGTCCCACCCTACATCATCCTGGGGGCCCTGGGAACCCAGCTTGTGCTGGGCTCCCCTCTGAGGCCACTTTGCTTCCTCCTCCAATGCCTGCAGAAACCATTGCAGTATGCACTGTGCTTGTTCCCGTTATCCATGTGGAAGACTGCATCCCAGACAGGCACAGGGCCTGAGATCACCCTGATGCTGTATGGTGGTGGATCTGGGGTCCCAACCTCACAATGGAAGCCTGCAATCACTGGGCAATGCTCTCATTCTCATCCCCAGATATTCCTTGGAGCTCCAGAAAGTTCCTCAGAGCAGGAGTGGGGCCTTCTAACTCAGACTCTCTTCATACTTCCTGCTGTGATGCCTATTTCTGAATTTCTCTCCTAGCTCAAGCCATCAGGTGTGACACCAAGATGAAGGACAAGTGCAGAGGCTCCACGTGCAACAGGTAGGGGCTGGGCTGCACCCTCTCCCACTGCTGCTGTCTGCCCTTTGTGCACCCCAGGAGGGGATGGGCCCTGTCAGCATCCATCTGTCCACCCCCTGCTTTGTCAACTGGGTAGAAACTCACAGAAAAGTGCTACTGTCTTCTTTCAGCACAAAACTTGTGCCAGGTTGAGCTGAAAGGGAACTCAGTTTGCTTGGCCTTGTGAACTAGAAGGACCACGACACCCCTGGGTCCTTCTGACGACACTGTGTATTTAGAGCTTGGCACACAAAGATGATCCATGGCAGTCAGCTGAGACCAGGCGTCTTTCCTTGGCACTGCTGACCTGTCGCACCAGGCTGTTCTGTGTGGTGGGACGTCCCAGGCACTATGGGCTGTTGAGTGGCATCTCCCGCCTCCTCCTACTCAAAGATGCTGGGGCACCCCCTGTGTGGTGACAAACAACAACGTCCCCAGACATTGCCCAGTGTCCCCTCAGGGACCATCACTCCCATCAAGAACCTCTGACCTAGAGACCGACACCAGCCTGGGTCTCCTCCTGCCGGGGTCCTATTCCAGGGCTGTATCTCACCCCCGTGGAGAGGAGGCCACTGAGGTGCAGCCTGAGGGTGGTGGATGCAGAACCTCACTGTATCACCCTGATGGTTTTCAACCCTGACATGGTGTCTTAGGAGCCAGCTTTCAAAAACCACATCAGCAACATCATTGCAGCGTCTGCCAGTGTAGGGACATGAACGCTCCCGGCAGGCTGAGTTTGGCTCCCTGCCTTGTAACCTGCAGCCTGCTGTGTCCTGATGGCTACCCTCAGTTCTAAAGGAATCTCCAGGCTGCAGAAATGCCAGGTGTGCTGTGGATATGACGAGCCGACCAACTTGGGGTCTTCATTCCACCGCTCTGTGTGAAGGGGGTTCTGGGAGTTCTGCACCCAGCTCACACCAGGGAGGATTAGGGATGGCAACTCACAGCGCCACAGCTCTGAACAGAATCTGGAGCCTGTTTCCCTGTGGACCCTGCCAGAGAGCAGTGAATCCACTGCTGATAGAGTCGCTTAGAACTGTCCCTCTGAGTGTCAAAGAAGGCCCGCCAAAAAGAACCAGTGTGGTTTGACAGCAGCTGCCGGCAGGGAATAGCTGCTGGGAGACTGTTGTCTTAGGAGGGTACCTCTTCTCACCTGGTCAGGGGTTCTGGCATCCGCTCACCCAAAGCTGAATGGAGTTGTCTAAAGCACACGCTGAAGAGAGGTGGTGGCGGGTCTTGTGCTGGACTGTCTTGTGCTGGGGGGTGGGGGGCTGGGAATTGCTTTGCCAGGAGACCGCTTTGCTTGGGTTTTGGTGGGATGGTCAGCAACCCTGGATGAGGCTGTTCTGGGGTCTCTTGTATGGTACACGGTTCCTCGAGCAGATGGCGATCAGCCAGCAAGTGCCGCAGGAGCAAAACCATCAACTTGTCAGTGGGCAGAGTGCCTGTGGTCTCAGTGGGTGGGGGCAGATCTTCTCTGTTCCCACAGCCTTGCTGGGGGCCCTGGCACATCCTTATGGTGGGAGGTTCGGGGCAGAAGCAGACAGCATTGGGAAGGGGTGACCTCTCTCCACTGTTGTGCGTCTGGAATTTTCGGAGAGCTCCATGGCTGTACCTTGGCAACCAAGTCTGCTCTTTGGTAGTGTAAACCCACAGGAGAGGGGACTCAAGCCCATGCCTTATTGCTCAGTGGGAAAAAAATCACAGCATTCAGAGAACATTCTGGTCAGACAGCATGGCAAGAGCCTCAGAGTGGAGGCTGATGGGACCCTGGTGAGCCAGAAAGAGGCTGGGCCACCCACATGAAGACCGTCAGGGCCTCCTGCCAGCCTGCTCCTAGGAGTCGACCATTGTCGGGCACATGTGCTTTCTGTATATGGTGCTTTTACAAAAATGGTATTTACTGGGCTTTCCCCCCAACTTTGGAAAATGTTTTGTTCATTGTAGTAAGTAATTCAGGAAAACATCATCAACAACATAAGCCTAAGGAAAAGATGGGTCCCAGAATCTCAACAGTCACAGTAGCCCCTGATGGGGATCCTTGCCACCTTCCGTGAACTGCATCAGGCCACTGCTGATGATGGGCTCCTGGATGTTACTGCTTTCACGAGATTTCCAAAAGTCAATATATATTCCTCAAAAGCGTCATGTCTGCTGGCTGCATGGCACTCTAGCACCCCCCCATGTGCATGCCTGGCCGTCCCACCGACACCTGCTGGCTCAGGGGCAGCTGCTCAGCATCACACGGAGGTCTGCCTTCCGGTGTCGGCCTAGGGCACGTGTCTACTTGATTCATGCATCCATGGACATGGGTTTTTTAGGCTTTCTTGGAAAGATGGAATGAGCCATGCTTTGTCGTGGACCAGCTCACCTGAGTTGGGAAAAGCAGTGTGATTCGACTCTGGGGAATTTGCACTTCTCGGATGAGACGTCTTGAATGTTTGAGAGGCTTTAGGGTGCCTTTGAAAGTGAACTGTCCATCTACTCTCATCTCTGCCTTCAACACGAATCTTAAACTCATGAGAACGGTTTTGAAGAAGGTGAGGTGAAGCCTGGAACCGTGTCCACGCCACTAGAAATTTCGGCCTGTCCTCTGTGGCTTGCTCGGGAACGGTGGTCTTGGCCTCCCTGGAACGTTTCTAAATGTAATAACAGGGCTCTGGGAGAAGCAGCAGCCACCAGTTCCTCGTGAGACTTAATCAGCACATTGACCACTGAAAATCATCTTTGGTTCTCGCCCACCAGGTACCAGTGTCCAGCAGGCTGCCTGAAGAGCAAGGCGAAGATTTTTGGAACACTCTTCTATGAAAGTGTAAGTGTATCTGGAAAGGGCATGTGTGGGATTCTGTGTGTGGTTTTAGAGAAGGCTGGGGGTTTTCACCTGAAAAGATTTCCTTCCCACCCTTTACTCACCCCTGTGTGTGTGGAACTGGTCCATGTGTATTTGTGGGCTCGAAAACTTGCGAAGCCACTTTTGGGAACCAGGACAAGCCCAGATGAAGATCAACTCTGTTGCAGAACAAATGTTGCTATTAGCATGCTCCACTGGATGGGGAGAAAGGGCTGTTTGTCATAGTTCTTAGTCGTAAAGCAACTTGGGGGAGCTTTTTCTGATAAGCAGCCCCAGGAACAAAGGCGTGTTATAGAAGAAGTAAGAGTCAGAAGCGGGGTGAGCTTTGGCCCGGCTTTTTGGCATTTTCTGGGTTGAGGACAAACATCTTGGGTATTTCTGGGCAAGATTGTGGACAAAGATGAATTCAGATCGACTTATGGCCTCCCCCTCCCTCCCCCCAGGCGTCCAGCATCTGCCGCGCTGCCATTCACTATGGGATCCTGGATGACAAAGGGGGCCTGGTGGACATCACCCGCAACGGGAAGGTCCCCTTTTTTGTTAAGTCGGAGAGAAATGGCGTGCATTCTTTGAGGTAACTAGTCCATGATCAGGGCTCCTTAAAACCATTTTTTTTCCAGGTTAGGAAAGTCTAATCAAAACTTAGAAAAGTATTGAGCAAAATAAAGACGCAGGAAGAACAAAAGATGGCTTTAATCCCATAACACTGAATTCACCCCTTAGCAGTTCAGCATGTTTCATTCCAGGTGATCCCCCAGTAATTTGGTTGAGTTTTGAATCCTGCCTTTTGTGCCTCCCTCGCCACCAAGACCTCTTTAGAATCATCGCCATAATGGGTGATGGTGTCTGAGTTTGTTGGCTGATTCTTGATCAGCTCGTTTTCTTCCTAGAAATGAGGCTCTTCATTTAAAAAATATACCTACTTTTGGGGAAAGGTGATGTTTTCCCTGTAAGGGTGTGTGTGTGTGGATAGATGATGTGGTGGACCACCCTTGTGTTTCTCACTTGCGGGGAGCAATGGGAAAGGTCTTATCTTAATCTGTCCTTGGAATTGGAGGCATCAGCTGATCCGGAGTGTGGACCTCCATGGGGGCTTCGGGGTGACACAGCTGGTGCTGCCTCTCCCTCTGTGACTTTCACCCCTTTGGGTGGCAGCGCCCTCACTTGCAAATGAGTACCAGGGAGGACCTAAGGCTGACACCCAGCTAGTTCATCACGGGGACAGGGAACCCACTGCTAAGAAAAGGGAAACCCTCCCCAGCTATTGGGAAAGTACTGTGCCCCCAGCTCCTGAGTTATCCCTCCCTGAGGCTAGAACCCCTCCCTCCACATGAGGACCTATGCCTGGCACCACAGGGGCATTGGGGACCTGGCCCCAGCCCACAGTGGCCCTGGGCCTCAGCCCATCCAGAGCTGCAAGCATTGGAGCATCCCCTCAGGATATCCACCTACAGGGGAGGTCAGGGGCTTCCCTGCTGGGAAAGCCTGGAGCACATCCTGCTATTATGACAGGGTCGTGTGCCCTGCCGGAGCCTGCGGCCACTGGGGACATTTCATAAAGGACATGCGTCACTCTCGGAAAGACCTCGGTCTTCAGGGGGTGTTGCAATATCCCCTCTTCTGTCTCAGCTAGGGACTGGGTGTGGAAGGGGATATGTGAACATGGAGGAAGTCTTACCTCCACGCCTGAGTGACAGAGCCACTCAGGCACCCGCAGACTTGGGTTGGGCAGGACTTTTTTGGGTCCTGGGCCGCTCTTCCTGGTGGTGCTCTCGTCCCTCCCGAGGGCCAGTTTTGCCCCTAGAGCTGGGTTCTTCGCATTCCGGAAGAGAACTCCAGATCCCAGAGAGTCTGCCAACAGCAAAGCAAAGCAAATTAAAGCTTTGCTCTCACTAAACCAAATGTGGTATTTCTCTCCACTGGGGATGCTGGCACGTACCGGCGACTTGTCTCCAGTGGAAATCCTGCACACAGAGCAAGGCACCCTCGTCATCACACTGAGAGGGGAGTAGTTAGAAGACTCCCTGCTGGATTCTGCTTTTTAATGCATTGAGAGAGTAGCACAGCTTTTCTTCCAATGATAATCTAATACTTTAATGATAATATTGATAATAGCCAATTTCCTTTGAATCTTTTCCATTTATCTGGTGCTTTTTAAAGAATCATTATACTGAGAAGGGGTCCATAGGTTTCATCAAGCTACCAGAGTGGTCCTGGGCACAAAGGAAGTTAATGAGACTTGCTCTAGAATATTCTAAGGAACTTCCGGCTGGTGGGAAGGGAGCAGACAGATGTAAACTTGAGACTGTAAATAAAATAAATGCAGAAGCAATTTTTTTTTTTTATGACTTCTAAAGTCCCTTCCTCGGAGAGATGCCTTTATTGCAAGTAATGTAAAGTTGCTACTAGCATAGTACAAGGGCCACAAGTTACCTTTGTTTAGACCCCACTTTTATTTGAACCCTACTTAGTAATTGGGTGGTTAGATGACTTAAATTACCTATACCTTACTTTCCTCAAAAAATACTTACCTCCTCAGGTTACTGTGACTTTTAAATGAGATACTGCATATCTTAGCTACTTAGCACAGCACCTGACACATAGAAAGAGAAAACAATCAACTGGAGCTGAAATGCAGAAGCAATTTTAAAATCAATTCTCTTTGCATTGACCTAAGATTTTCTTTCACAGCAAATACAAGGCTTCCAGCTCATTCATGGTGTCCAAAGTAAAAGGTAAGCTGGCCACCCTCTTTTTTGTTTTTTAATGTGGCCATAATAATGCCCAGGCTATCTTGAATTTCCCTGGAAATGTTGCTCCCCATTGTTACTGATTTAATGGTTATCGTGATGGCTAACATCGCCATTCCTGGCACTCTAAAGACTTCCCAAGGAACTAGTTCTTCTTTGACTAGTTTCTAAGCACAATGGAACTTAGCATTGGCCCTAGATATTGTGGAACAAGAAACACAGGACTGGGGGTCACGGCTGAATGTCTCAGAGATACTAATTGCGGGCCTCAAGTGGCTGAATGTTTGCATGTTCATTCACTTTCCATCAATGGATGTGGCTACCCGAGCATTGTGTTGAGGAGGGTGCCTTCTTGGCTGGATCTGGGTTCAGCAGAATCCAGGGCTTGATAGACTAGTCATGTCTGTCTTGGACCAGACAGGGTGGGGGTGGGAGTACCTGATATACAATTGCCATCTCCATCCAGGTTTGATGTTGCTTACACCTGTTCATTGACAGTGTGGGAGGCTTCCGTGGCATAGCAGGCTGTGGCCAGCGGTGGAGGTTAGGGCACTAGGCTAAATAGTCCTAGGCAGTGATGAGGGGTTTCCTGCCCAGAAGCCTCCCCTGAAACTTTGCCTCCTTTCTTTTGAGAAAGTGACTCTTGTCATTTGTCCCAGATGCAAGAATATCTGTTAGATATCTGTAGGAAAATGTGTCACAGATTTTTTTTCCATATTACAAAAATAATGTCTGTTTATTCCAGAATATTTAAAAATATAGCAAGGCATTAAAAAAAAAATTAAATTTCATGACTCAGAGAACATTTTGGTGGATTCCTTTACAGCACATTTTCCTTATATGTTAGGAATGTTGGTAATATATTAGAGATAGGTGCCTTGATATACTTTCAAAAATGGAAATGCTATTACATAGATTAGATAACCTAATTTTTCCCCAGATAATAAGATAGCAAGAATCCACTTGTGTGCCTTAAAATGGGCTTTAAACCTAATTTTAATAGTCTCCCTGTCCCCCAATGTATAGCAGCCCTTTGGAGTACTAAACCCATCCCCTTTGTTGGAAAACTGTAGAATCCAGGGCCCTTGCAATGATGGGCTGGACCAAGGGGATTGAAAACTACTTCCCTTGGGCCAAATCCTGCCTGCCTTCTGTTTTTTGTAAATAAAGTTTTATTGGCAAACAGCCATGCCCATTCACTTACTGTCTGTGGCTGCTGCCTGCTACAACTGCAGGGCTGAGTAATATAGACCACCAGGCCCACAAAACTGTAAAAAAAAAAAAAAAAAAAAGTCCCTCTGTCCCTTTAAGAAAAAGCTTGCCAAGTCCTGGATTAGATGTCAGAAACCACAGGTGGTCAGCGTTGGAACTGTTTTCTTAAATCTTTGGTTTAAACACAGCACATGACCTTGAAGGAGAGTTGCCTGCCCCTGGGCAGGGATAGATTTGGTTCTCTAGACTGTACGTGGGAGAGCAGGGCCCTCACCCAACCCCCTGTCTCAGGGGGGTCTTAGCTTTTCTGGACCTGTTTTCTCATCCATAAAATTAGGATAATTATGCCCTAAATGAGGTAAAGGGCTTCTGAATCAAAAAGTACTATGCAGATGAACATTAGGGGACCCCAGAGAAACATGGAGGAAATTCACCTCTGACCTGTACAAACATCAGTCACTGCTTCTGTCTTGTCCTTCAAGCGACCCCAGGTGAGGTTCATTGGCCCTACTGGGTACTTACCAGCTCTGTTTGAGGGTCCGGGGAGCCACCAGGACCTGGTTGTCCAGCAGCCCATGTCACAGGCCAGTGTCCTGACCCTTTTCTCATGTGTCCTGTCCACAGAGCAGGACCTGGACTGCTACACCACGGTCGCTCAGCTCTGCCCGTTTGAGAAGTCGGGGACCCACTGCCCGAGGTAAGGCTCCCTGGCATCTGGTCTTGCAAACACTGGGGCTGAGAGAAGAAGGTGCTGTGCCCTGTGGGGAGGGGGCCTCTTGTTCTAGAAGGGCCTCTAGTATGTGCCCACCCACTATGTCCAGGACCCATTATACCTCCCCAACAGGGCCTCAACCCCAACAGCACATTGGAATCCCTTTGTGGCATTAAAAAGCAGAGTCCCAGGGCCCCTGCCCAGCCCACTGAGATCTGAATCCCCACAGTGGCCAGCTGGGCATGGTATCAGTAGAAGATTCTGGGTGTACCCTGTGTGCAGCAAGTCTCTGAGCCCTGTTTCCCCTCTGCTGAGGGAGCTCAGAGAAAGTGACTGACACACTTGGTGTTGCCTTGATTCCCTGGACAGAGAAGCGACACTGGTGCATCTGACTTCCTGTACCTCGTGGCCAATCAAGCCTCGAGCTGTGCCATCTTGTTCTCTTCGGTCAGTCGATAACTGTGGGATCCCGGTGGTTCCTGTCCCCTTAAAATCAGTTCACTGATTCTTGTACTTGATCTGGTATATTCTCCAAACCACTTAAGAAGTAGCACATGAAAACCCGGCTTTATTGAGATGCAGTTTGCACACAAAAGCCACTTACTGAGTTGGTAATTCCAAATGTTTCTACAAAGCAGATAGTCATGCCACCCATCCAGAGGGAAGAAATTTTCAACAACCAGAAATTTCCATGAGGTCAATTTCTTTCCTGTAACCTCCCCCCATATCCCTACCAACCACTGATCTCCTTCCTATCTCTATAATGTTGCCTTTTCCAGAATTTCTTAGAAATGGAGCCACAGCAGGTAGACTATTATCTGTCTTCTTTCACTCTGTGTGATGCTGTTGAGACTTTCCCGCCTTGCTGAGCGGGTCCATGGCTTCTTATTCCATGGTGCCATAATGTAGCTGTATCTCAGTGCGTCATCTGAGTAGGTCTTACAGGCATCCATCCAAAAGGTAATTGGATAACTTTAGGGGTGTCCTGTAAGATTTGTCTCTAAGATACTTAGTATAAGTTACCATCCTGAGATGCCTTGTACTAGGCCTTGGTTCTGGAAGGTAAATACTACTCTTAAAAGCAGTAGGTGGAGACCCCTGAGATGTGAGCAGGCAGAGCCCCAGGAAGGTGCTGTGAATGATGGGGGGGCTGGATGGGTCCCTGGCCTCTCCCCTTCACTACCCCCCTGCCCCTTGGGCTACCTCACCACCAGACTGGGCCCCACTGTGAATATTCAGGTGGTGATAACTAGCTTCAATAGATTTTTCCAAGTAATAAAGAGAAGCAGGAGGAAATAATTCCAGAAAAAGTTGACAGTATACAAGTATCCAAAATGTGAGTTTTGGACTCATTCTTCTAAAAGTAGGAGACTTCATTCCCAAATTCCTTTTTCTTTTTTAAGTAATGTGTGCAAGTGCATGTGCACCCACATACACTCTCTCTCTCTCTCTCTCTCTCTCTCTCTCTCTCTCTCTCTCTCCATCCACCCCTGCCATCTACCTCCACAGGACCAATTTCACTAGCTTTCTTTGCTCCCCAAACCTGCCTGTCTTGGGGCCAGATGGCGTCTAGCTGCCATTTTGGTTTCTTGGTTTCTGGGCTTCAGCCTATGGTATACTGTTCCAGATCAAGACAAAACACCCTTTCTTAAGTAAAGCTCGTACTTTTTCCTGGTTTGGATCCCTCAAACCACCTCCGGTCCACCCTTTTCCAATTCGAGACACTCTCCTCATCCCCTGTGCCCTGGGCAGGGATGTGGTGACTGACACAGTCATGAGCTAACCCTTTCCGCCTCAGGTTATCAGTGCCCCTCCCTGGAATATTCTGACTCACTGAGGTGAGGCCCCTCCACCCTTTCCTCTCCCACACAGGGAATTGGCTTTTAAATCTATTGATTATAATCTCCATAATGTACCCATAGTCTGAACTGGCCAACACCCAAGAAAGGCAAGTATAGCTTCTTACAATCCCACACTCACCTCTCGTAGATATTTATTCCCTTTCACCTCATTATTTGTGCCTGTCTTCCAGTAAGTGGCTTCCCTGTGCTGTTGCATTGTTTAAGAAGAAAAATGTCTTTACCCCAGTGAGGGTGGGAAAGGTATCTTTATTTCTTCAAGAGAAACTATGATAATTTCCTTGTATCAAAGTACTTAAATCTTGAAGTTCAAATAAAGCAGGTCAGCCACCTCTCCAGTTCTGCTGATCGGTAACCATCATGTAAATGCTGTTTGTTTTTCAGAGTTCATTGTCCGGCGCTCTGCAAAGATGAGCCATCCTACTGGGCTCCTCTGTTTGGAACCAACATCTATGCAGACGTGAGTATCCTGGTATTTTTATTGATCACTTCTCCCAGCCTGTTAATTCCACGGAAAGCACATCCCAAGGTCTGGATACCTGGTATCTCCACCCTGGGCCTTCCTAAATTTAGACCACTTGTTTCTGCAACCTTTGCCCTTGTTTCCCATTTATAAAGCCTTTACTACTTTCCCCTGCCAATGAGGAATATAGATGTAGGTGTACCTCATATGACACAGCTGTGGTCATTTCATAAGTTGAAGCCTGTCTCTCGCTGACATTTTAATGAAAAGGTTTTCATGCACCACATACTTCAGTTCCCCAGATAATCTCTCTCACTTTCCTGACGCATTTATAGATGCTGGTCCACTCCGCTCACTGCATTTCCTTTTGGTCATGTACACACTTAACTAAAAGTCCCAAAATATAAATTACTCCTGATTTACTACTTGCCAAGAACCACTCATTGTATCTGTTCTTTCATTTCTTCCTTCCTTAGTAAGGAAGCATGAGCCTGGATTTTTTAAAGTGAATCCTCCAGGACATAGTTTGATACCTCCAGGGTTTTGGTAAATGGTGACCTAGAAGATGTACATGTGGTCACAGCTCTGCCTGAAAGACTCTAATCTTCTTGCCAAGTCATTTACCTCTCTGTAGAATGAGCCAGCTGGGATTTTTATTCAGGGAGGCTTCTGGGTTTCAAATCCCATGAATAGATATCAGAATCACCCATCCCCAGCTAACATTTTTATTCCACCCTTCTTCATCTTGATTTTTTTTAAGATTTATTTATTTATGCATACAAGAACTGGGGTGTGGGCCAGATGTGTGGGGATGGGGTGAGAGGATTCACCAGAGACAGAGTGGGGGCAGAACAGGCAGATTGACTGAAATACACTATTCAGGGGAGCAGTGGGTGAGATAGGAGATGGCTGTTGCACCATGTGGGTTGCTCCCTGACTGGGGTTCGAACTTGTGCTGCAGTGGTTGCTGATAGCTTCACAGTGCTGAGACTTAATCCCTTGTGCCACCATGGGAGGCCCCCTTTATCTTCATTTTTGTTGTTCTCCTCACCTCCCACTACCATCTTTGCCTCCATCTGCTTTCATTTGTTCCAGATTCTTGAAAATGTGAGGTCACTGAATTCTCTAAGGTCAACGTAACTTAAATGGCTAACCTTTCCGTTTTTTCTTTTTAAGTGAGTCTTTTTTCTTGAAAGTTGCTCAATCAAAATTGAGATATGAAAGTTCAGTAAAGGAGTAAAATAATGTATATCAGTTGTTACTCTAGATGTTTGAAAAAGTCTGCTATTAAAAGATAGTATCTTTGGGGCCTCCCCCGTGGCGCAGCGGTTGAGCGCTGGGTTGCAAAGCTGCCTGCAGCCTCTGCAGTGCCAGTTTGATCCCCGGCTGCTGCGCAAGGGTCCTACATGGTGCGCAGACCTCTCCTGCTGCCCGCTGCTCCCCTCAGCAGTGTACTTCGGTCCTTCTGCCTGTTCTGCTCCCCTCTCTGGCTCTGGTGAATTCTCTCACCCTCCCATGCTTCTGACTGTACCCAGTGCTTGTATAAATAAATAGATAAATCTTAAAAAAAAAACATAGTATCTTTGATTTTAGTAGGCTATAAAAATAAAGGATGGGCAGAGAAAGAACCAAAATAAAGTAATTCCAGCCAAATACAAAGAAATTAACAAATAAAGTAGGAGTGGCACGATTACTGCCTGATAAAGTAGAGCTGAAGGCAGACCTATTGAAAAGGACAACACAATTTGTCATGCAATAACACAAAAGGTACAATTTATGAAGAAGATTTAAAAATCAAATCTGTATGCACCAAACAACACAGCAACTAAAACCATAAAGAGAAACAAAATTAGAAATGCAAGGAGAAAATAAAAAAAAAAAAAAGGGCTTCCCCAGTGGCACAGCAGGTTGAGCTCAGTGTTGTGAAGCTGTCTGCAGCCAGGGAGAATCCCACATGGCGAGGCAGACCTCTCCTGTTTCGCCCATTGCTCCCCTCAGCAGTGCTTTCGGTCTGTCTGTCTGTTCTGCTCCCTCTCTGTCTGGTGAATCCTCTCACCTCCTGCAACTCTGGCCTATACCCAGCTCTTATATAATAATATATATAATATTACATATATAAAATATATATAAAGAAATAGGAGAAAGTTGGTCAAAACTTACAAATGACATTAAACTACCTCTTAATCAACACTTTCTATGTTTTAGATTTTTAAAAAACTCCACTATCCCCATTTTACAGAGAAGGAAAATGAGACTCAGAATAACCTGCCCAAATCACACAGCTAGCACAGGGCCAAGATGAGATGCAAATGAGGGTGTGTCTTGGTTCTGGCTGGCTCTTTTCCCTGCTTTAGTCAACCCTGCTTGAATGAGTCTGCACTCATAATTTCACTGGTGCCTGCGGGTGTGTAGATGAAACCCCTGGCACAGTCTAACTCACTTGTGCACTAGGTTAGGGACTCTGGACCGTAGTGCTGGGACCTAACTTGGCACAATAATGGTTCAATCAGTGTTTGTTGAAGGAATAAATAAATGACGACACTATGGAAGTCAATGCTTAGACATTGTTCAGAGAATAAAAGACAGAGAGGAGAAAGAAAGGAAGAAAAAAAAAAGAGAAAGGCAGGAGAAAGGGAAGGAAGGAGGAAAGGAAAGAAGAACGCAAGCTAGGATTCAAAGCTTCATTTCTGGCTGCGTTTCCAGGTCACTCTGTATTCTGGAAAATGATGATGGCTTATGGAAATGTCTGTTTAGCTAAGAGATTTATTTGGGGGTGTTGTCTCCAGGCCTTCGAAGGGCCTCAGGGTGTCCACG